ATAATATATTACAAAAATATAAAAATATAAAATATAAAAACTGCTTTTTATAATTCAGTGTAAGGAAAATAATCAGACTTCTTTGGGGCCTAGAAAAAAACCAACATGATTACTTTCAAAAGCAAAAAGCTTTTCTCTACCTCATTGTATTCCGAGCAGATGCATCAATGTAAATAAAGTTCAGGTGCAAATCATGTCAGATAAGAAAGTAATTCCAGTGGTGAAAGTCATGCCTGGTATAGCACCAGCAACATTTATGAAGTGGTAGCAAAAATATATTTGAAGCAATGGGCTAAATGTTTATATCACTGATGCGATAGTGTCACGTACTGTCAAATATTTTTAACATATTACTTCTAACAGCTGAAGTCTGTGTTTGGTTCCAGCAGACTAAACCCAGAATACCTGAACCAAAGCTAGTGGAGACACTGTTGCTGATTGGAACAAAGGACATGAATTTGCACTTAGCATTTATATAGTCCTTTTCATCTTCAAAGAGCATCACAAACATTAGCTAGTTCTAATTCTCTCACAATGACCTTCGTACTAACCTTTTGGGATAAAAGTAATAACTATAAGAAAAAAACCTGACAAGATGTGTAATCAAGCATACAGCAAGCCTCAGATGTGTAAACCATCTCTGCCTTGACCTCTGTCTCTGCCTCATGGTAGATTTTATCTCATCAAGAATATAAGGCCTTTCCCCATGGCGCAGGTATTAATTCACCATACAATGAATTTTACTAACCTAAGATGACGGCAATAATCCTTGAATAACAGATTTACTATCACAGTTATAGGATACAACTATTCTTTTTTAACAGATAAGGAACTCAAAATAATACCACATCAAAAAATTGGCTGGAAGCTGCCACAGGACAGGGACGCGTGTAGGTTAGATGTTGGGATACCATGGCTTTGAATTCCTACTCTTCAGTCATTCTGGGATTTTTTTCAGTCCTTCCAATTCAAATTAGGAATTTTGTAAGTCTCTTCTAGAAATCTTTCTCAGAAGCAGCAGAAGCTTCTTTTATGTATCAGTTCTCTCTGCCCTCCAATCCAGGCTTGCAATTTGATTATCAATTCTGGGTGGCTCTCAGCCCAGGATCTTGAATAAGTTCCTCATGTTCCAGTTGCTTGCACTCTTTATACAGAGGGATAGATTGAAGCAGACAGTACTCATTTTCATGGTGACCCAGAATAGCTATAGTTACAAGAACACCTTTAATCTCCTGTTCCTGTTTTTGAATTGAATTCAAGTGGGGAGAGATGAAAGGAAGCGTCTCACAAATCTGCTACTACAGCTGGTACTCCTTAGTTTATCGTATGCTAGCTCTAATTCTCTTTGATTCTTCTTAAAATTATTGCTTCTGTTTCTTAATTTGACAACCAGGCATCCATTGCTATTTTTTGACTATGAAAAAACCTCCCCTCCCTCTTTCTTATAGCTACTTCCTCAAGAAAAAACAAACAAACTTACTGCATTATGATATCAATGTATAATTGAACTTCTCCCATTGTAGGTTTTCTTATGCAGCGTACAAACGAGACAATACTTCATTACTTACGGTTCAGGAAAAGACTTACAAAATAAACTGAAGAGTGAAAGAAGGATAAGGGTCATGCTGATATGAAGAGCATCAGTTGCACTGCAGTCCATTTTGGATTTCTTGCAGGAACACACTTGTAATTTCAGTTCTGTGTTATTAGTCAGAGGCGGTTTTCCAGAATCTGTCACTGAGACTGGGATGTTGTAATTGGCCTTTTGCAGGTTTTGAAGCAGGACGACTTGGGCATGAGTATCTGCAAAGGATAAGGTGAGAATTAGCCAAATAGTGGTTGTCTGGAAGGGAAGAGGAATCTGCAAACAATGTCAGACATGGCACAGTTACTTATGGAAATGAAGAAGAAAATGAGAACCCTCTAAGGAAAAGATTAAAGAATTGAATTTGAGGTAAGAGGCAGTACAGAAATTCTCTCATGGGCTGAGAGCTAATTGCAAACTTATTCTAAATCCCACTAAAAGAAAGACTTCTAAGAGCCCCTTTTGTTTAAATACATTATTTGGTCTGCAAATTATTGGCAGAATTTGCCTGTGGAAACTACTAGAGTAATGAAATGCTAAGAGATGTCATCCCCACAGCAACACAAGAGGGAAGAATATACCTGTTTGCCAAAGGCAGAAACTCTTCGTGAAAGGAAATACAGACAAAGCTAGCCAACTGCTTCCCCAGTTTGACTGAGAAGGCAGTGAAGGGAAGTAACGCCTCCTCAAACCCTCAGATCTGCTCCAGCTGAGCAACAGTGGATCTAACAGCTCTTGGTACCCAGGTGAGCGTGCTAACTTTAGGGGTCTAACAGAGTGGTGGTCTGATGTTTGAACAGCACAGAAAATGACTCCTCCACTTGTCCTGCAGGCAGGTACAGACATCACATCCACCTTTAGTTTTTTCTAAGAATGTGAAATGAACTGCTAAAAGATTCAATGGTGACAGAGATAAATAATACATGCTAGAAAACAAATAGAAATCATCTACATTAAAAAGAAATGTAGTACTTCGTGCCCACAATTTGCCATAAGAACCTTCTGCAATTGCACAGCATGTGCTTTGATCCTCTTACGCATAGTGTATGGTCCCAGGGCATTTGGATATTTTATTTGTGAAGAGTTCAAATACTTAAAATCAGGAAGTTTTTCAAGTACATTTTTAAAGCCCATGCCAAACTTTCATGCTGTCCTATAGCAAAGCCTTGTGCATCTCATACAAACAAATTCCATGCCATGAAACATGTAATCTTTACAAAACTATATGTCATTAGCCTATCTTTAATGCAAAGCTAAAAGAGAAAAGTTTGGTCAGCATAATAATAAGAAGAAAAAGGTTCAGATTTTAGGGAAAACACACAGACAGTTATTATGTCCCACCAGGCAGCCAGTCTGAGCAAAACCAGCACAGTGCAAAGCAGCAGCAGCACTGGGTCCATCCTGCAAGACTTTCGTGCACAACTGCTCCTGATTTCACATTATGGGCACCCTCAGGGTGAGCATAGTGGGAAGCGGAGGTGGCAGGACTAAATGCATAAAGAAAAAAAGTCATAGACTTACTGTTAATCTTGGTGATTCTCCACAATTTTTCTGGGCCAGATTGCTTACTCAGTTCAAATTTGAATGGATCTGTGTTGGGATGAAGGTCTTTGTCTGATGCTCCTAGTACCACTACCCTGAGATCTTTTGCATCATCACAAACTTTTGCCAGTGTTGGATAAAGGGAAGGGACATTGTCGTTGACATCCTCCAAGGTGATGTGCAAAGTCCCTGTACCTGTAGCAGGAGGATTACCTATTTGAAAAAACAAGCATATGTTTATTAAATCATCCTTCCGTAAACACTTGATCTTATTTGTACCTGCATGCTTGCAAAAGGAAATATTTTTTATAGTTCTTACCTCTGCTATATGAAAATTATTGTTTTAAAAAACTGACGAGTCACTATTGTAAATTTGTTGCTGTATTTTCCTGATGCAGCCTGTCTGAGTCTCTACAGTGTGGATAACTATGCTAAGGGAACCTCTGGGAGAGGAATATTTTGAAGTTAAAATGAGATTAGGATGTGAATAGATGTCTGCAACAGAATCTGTTCATAAACACATACTGAGAGAAACATAGCAGGAAACATCCCCTAGACAGACAGCATGCTATTAGAAGAATCAAGAACAAGACAAGAGGAAAAACGCCAGTAGAGAGGAATCGATTTGTATAGGAGGGCCCATGAACAGAACAGGACCAGATCATTCCCCAACAGCCCTTGGGACCACAGTTAGTTATGTCAGCAGAAGGGAAACCTGTCAACATGCAACTCTGGGAAATGAGACCTGTTCTTTACCCAGAGCCACCCTGTGTTAGCAGTGGCTTCAAGCTTTCTCAAATTATTTGCCAGCCTGCCCCAGCCCTGACCTGAAGGAACCAGCTCCAGAGGTGAGATGTTGTTTACTCACCGTGGTACCGCTGCAAGCCTTTACGCCAAGGCTGTGACTGACAAACCAGCCCTGGCGCTGGACGTGTTTGTAACGGAGACGTCTGCCCACTGGGAGCCAGCCCGAGACCAGCAGCTCATTTCAGAGAGGGCAGAGAGGAGCTGACAGGTGGTAATAACTTCCAGTCCCTGCCGATGTGTGCCACGGCTGAGCCAGCAACCTGCTGCTTGCAGTCTAAAGCTCAGTATCTTCTGCCAGATCCCTTTGCCATCCCATTTTAACTGATCCCAAAGTTTTCTAAATGCTCATGACTTCCTTCGCCGTGTACCATATGTAATAATTTCCCATTTGAAATGCTGCACTTGTGGGTTGTGTGACTTGTTTTTCTGGTTTAGTACACAAGATCTATGATCTCTGCACTTCCCTCGGCTATAAACCCTGAGCAAGTAGAAAGGATTCAAGAGGTTGCACTTAACCTGTAAAGCACAAGTGCAGTGTGTCACTGCAGTTTTAGGTTTAGCACTGAAAGAGGGACACTTTAGCATAATTACCCTGCCTACAGCAGCCCAATAAACTGGGGAATTATTGCTGCACTGCGAGTGCATCCTAAGGGAGAAGTAAATACCCTGTGGTCTGGATCTGATAAACTACTAGCTGTAGCAGAGTGCAATTAGTCCTTTCAATAAGAAATGTTACTAATGGTGACATTTCATCTGTTTCATGCACACATAAATGCATAACAAAGGCGGAATTTTCACAGTTCTTTAGCTTTTCCCCCCTTCCTCATCTTACACTTTGTCATCAGAAGGGGTAGGGTTGAGTTCTTTTTAATGAAAAAGAAATTATTTTTCACTTTTTATTGGACTAATTGAATTTGCAGAAAGACTCCAATACATTTTTTGTTCTTGATATATTATTAAGTAAAGTCATACGGCAGAATGGATGAAAAGACATTTGAGTATTTGAAATATGATCATAAAAGCCAGCCTTTCATGCACTTAATTAAACTGCTGTCTTTAATTTTGAATGCATTATTTCCACACTGGACTGATAATGTCTTATACACTGCCCTTCTTATCTTTCTCTGAAGTCAGTAATATTAAAATCTGCCTTTTGAAATTAAGAAGCCAACAGCATTATGAATGTACTGTTATTTTGTCAGACACAGATACGGCTACATTTTCTCTGCCATGCTAATGTTTCACTATCTTCGTGTGGCTTGTGGGCCAGTCAACTATTACGTACAAATAGAGAGAAAGGAAATTACTTCTGTCCATTTCAATGACTTATTCTCTGGTTGGTTTTTTCATAACGATTTAAACGAAATCTTTTGGTGTTTTATGAAGACCTCCAAAAGAAAAATAAGCAAATGTCAAGGTCATAAACTGGAGCTTGTTGACACGCACGTCATAAAAAATGCAACAAAAAATGAATCAAGGAAAAATGGTCACAACATATCCATTGGGAATATATGACTTTCATAAATTTGACACTATTATGCCTTTGAAATGCTCCAAAAATCCCATGACCTCCAGACAGCTTTGGTTTTGAAATGAAAGACTACCATAGCATATTAGAATTCTGAAATAAAACTTCTCTTAATTTGTATTGTAAAACCTTGCAGCAGGAAGCATAACTAATGCATAAAGAGCTCTGTCCAACAGCCCTTGGGAGCAGCTTTTCAAAAGAGCTCAGCTCCCATTTTTGTCCCTGAACTGAATTGGCCATTCCTCCTGAGGCTGAACCATTTAAACCTTTAGGTGTCTTTAGCACCACTGGGGATAGAGACAATTTCAAATTCCTGCTAAGGCTCCCACAAGTGGCGTAGCTGTGAATACACTATGACAAACATATGAAAGCAACAGCATTACTCGTGTGTGCAAAAGCTACTAAAACAGAGACTGAAGGGTGGCTAATTTTGTGCTGAAAGAAAGCGACAGCTTGGTATTGAATCCTGACTTCAATAACCTAGGACAAGACTGAGAACCTTAACAAGCAATCTTCAATGAGACTGAAATGTAAGAAAGATCTTTCATGTTAGTTAAGGTTTGTAGGACAGGAACTTTGATCAGCTACACTACAAAAGTACAGATTCATCTTAAAACACCCTGCAATTGGAAATGTATGATAGACTTATCTGAACTGGATCGGGACTGGTAATGTCTTCGTATCCTGGTATTAGACTGCATACAAAGCTTCTAAAAGCAGTCTTCAGTTAGGCAATAGCTACCGCTGCTGTAAGGTGCAAAACCGAAAAATAGACTAACAAAAGTAATTCTATTTCATGAGCCATAGAATATGATGGGGTGTATTGTCTGGGAAGTAGGATATGTAATGCAAGGGACTGATACCAGAAGATGTAGATATTAAATTGGATTTTAGTGCTATCAGCATACATGAATATGGGGCTACCTTTATTTAAAAAAAAAATTCAAAAGAAATATTATAGAAAAAAATACTTTGTATACTTCTGTATACTTGATTTTTAATGAATAGTCATGCAGAATCATATTAGAATTATTAGTGTAAAGTCTTAAATTATAAGCCCTCTGTAGAAACACATGGCCAAGAAATTTGAAAACTGGCATTGAGTTTTGGTCCAAAAAGTTCCTGTAGGAACCATGATGGCATTTAGACATCTAACTACTCAGATGAGACTGCCAAGCAGGTAGTTAGATTCTTAGAAGATACCAATTACGCACAATGATGACCATGGACTATGATGACATTTCTCTTAAGTATCAAGACTTGCATAAAATGGCATGTCTAACAAGCAATCGTATGGTTGAACGGCTGATGATGCATTTAATCTGAGCATAACATTTTTATGGACATGAAGAGCCATTTCATGTTCTGCTTTCTAGTTTTTCTACAGAAATGTGATGCTGTTGTGTACAGATTTCTATTATGGTTGAGCTGTGCTCCGTGAAATTAAAGACAGTATCTGGACCGCTTTGAAACTGAATTAAGACATTCCTAATCAGTGTACATTCAAATATCAACAGCTTTCATTTATTTGAAATGACAGCAAAAGTACAGAGTTAGGAACTGCCGCATAGCAGGTGAGATTCTCTGGTGTCTTGCACAATAAGAAGCCAAATGTCCCTAAACAGTCAGTGAAGGTTGAGGACTTAATTTTTGAGGTATCCAAAGAAAAAAATCATAGTGTGACTGAGGGTTGCCCATACAGCTTCCTATTTTTTTGCATGATGTCAACACACCTGCACTTCTATCTTGCCTCCCTACTGTTAGCATTACAAAAGACTGACAGAAGGATCCACACTGCATGAATAAGCCCACTGTCATGCCTCAGTGTCTCACCACATCTTATGCAGGCACATCTACACAAGTTTTAAAGCAGTCAATGCAGATGCTAAAACTATGTAGCCTCAAATCAGTACTATGAAAATTTTTTTATATTTTTTATCTCAAAGTGTGTCTTTCATGGAGCAATTTGAGTTCATACTTGTTTGGTTTTTTTTTTTCCACTTAATGCTAAGGAAGCATTTTAAGATTTAAAGGATATTATAAACTAAACAAATTTGGTCAGGTAAAAAACCATTTCATTTAATTTCTGAAAACCAACAGGAGAATCTCCAATAAATATTTTCCCTTCTAGTTTGATTCTTTTTTTTTTCAGTTTGACACCAAACCTGACTTGATCTAAAATAAAACAAGTTACACAAGGGAAAACAAGGATTAGCAACCACAAAAAAGTACATTTCCACATGCTATGAAACTGTGCTTTGAATAAATCAGCTGAAAGTCAGTTTCCTTGTAAATAAGATAATTTGTTTAGTGGCACAGCTAAGGAACAAAGCATTGATAATCAACTAACAAGAAAAATGCCAGACACACTAATCAAATAGTGTTAAGGCTGGATGACAATGAGACCGCATGTTTTCACTTATATTTAGAAAGTTCACCTAATGGTATCAAAAGCTAAACACAGGAAATCTTCTCTGTTTAGAACTCTAATGGCTTGTAGCTTGGTCATTACAGCAAAGGAATATTTATGTAAATGCCTTTACATAACAAAATGTAATTAGAAGCAAACATGAAAAAAAGGAATGTAATTTGGACTATTATACTTTTTTTTTTTCCTTCTTTTTTTTTTTTTTTTTTTTTAAGAACATCAGAGAACTTGGGTTCTGGCAATATTTATCAAATTTCCAAAGAATAAAAATCAGCCATTCTAGAGAATCCAGCTGCCACACAGATCCAAGCCACAGTATTGCTGGAAGCCAGAATAGTTTTTAGGCAGAATGGAGCATTTCACATGCTCATTATGAAGGGTGAAGAGACTTCTGTACTCATTTCTTCTTATTAAATTAAGCTTCCAGCACCATCAAATTAATACATATTA